CCCGCTCCCTGAAGGAGAGAGGGACTCAATGATTGAATGCAGTCTGGGTCAGGTTTCCATTCCCAGATGCTGTAGCTCTCAAGGGGACTAACAGTGGTATAGACACCTGGGTACTGGCTCTTTCCCAGTGTCTATTGTACTAATTAATACTCAATAATTTTAAAAATAGTTTTATCATTCATAATAAAAGGAGAAAAAATATAACCTTTTTCTGATTTAACCTGATTTCTGATTTTCCGTTTGACATTTCACCAGAATCATCACTCAGGATAACTGTCTATTGCTCGTTCAGTCTGTAATTGATGTATAGGAAATGCACAGTATTTTTTTTTTTTAATTAAAAAAAAAAAAAAATTATGTTGCAGGAAAATCAAGAGCACTATCACAGATACCAGTGAGAAACCTATTAACTAAATATAAGTCACTCAGATCCACGACACCGGATTCTGGAATCACTTCCCCCCGTGACCTTTTTTCCCCATCTTTCCCCTTCCTCCACACCAGCTTTCAGTGCAGATTCTCAACGGAATGAAATATGCCCATCATAAGAAGCCAGCCCTCTGCCTCCAGCTGTAAGCTCCCATCACCTTGCTTGGACCAGAACAAATGGTCATAGCCTTGCATGTTCAGTCAGATGATCCCACCCATCTAGTTGAAACATTAACTTGCAAAAGAGTAAAATAAAGGTAAATTTTCAGGTTTTGATTCATCTGGCAACATGGCTTTACAACTGCTATTGCTGGCACAAGTGAAGCAGAAGCAAGAGATGACTGAAAAAGGAAGGACAGATCTATTCCTTTCACTGACCTAAACCACTTGGGTAGCAAGCCCATGGCATGAACCAACGCAGAGGCCTTTTCTAAAGCTCAGAGAATATTCTACCTCTCCCCATGAGTCAGTCTCCCCCACAGCACATTCATCGGGGCATGCGGACATTCACTGAACTTTTTCAGAAATGGAAGCACGGCAATTCTTTCTAATTCCTGGCCTTGTATTCCTTAGTTGAGGAATTCTACATTAGTTTCTACTTTCTATATCTATTATAATGATATACATTATAATACAGTATTATTTCACAAACATAAAAGATCACATTTAATGTATAACCGAGAGAAACTACAATGAATTAAAAAAATAATTATATTAACAACTATTTTAAAAAAATTAAATTAGATGTATTTGCACTAATTCTCAGGTATTTAGAAACAGTAAACTGAAATGATGACTAATGCAATTAAACAAAACATATCTTACTTTAGGCAGATAGATATTTAAATCCAGACTCCTCCTGTTGGGCTTTCAATTGAAAGGCCAAAGGTGTTCACAAATTACAAAGCACAGTTCATATTAATATTTCATATTAACAATTCATACCAATTTCAAACAAATCTTTTACTACCATAGCAAATAAACAACAGAAAATTATAAAAACAATGTTGGAGGTGATTCTCCTTCAAAGTCTTATGCAATCCTATGTCTCTGAATGTCAGAAAACTGGATAAGGTTAAAGCCTTTGAAGCACATCAACATGTGAATATAAAATACGTTACCCAGAGCTCATGCTTTGGTTGCACTGCCGCTACATAAAACAGATTAATTCAGACACGGAAGACATGCACTGAAGATCAGTGAGGTACAATCATAGACAAAACCTTACCAAAAAATAACACACTGAGCTGTACTCACTACCAAAACGGACAAGTGGTAAACACTAATACAGAAATATAAAGGAAAAGTCTCTTTTTTTGAAATATACATGCCTAAGATAGGTGCAGTATAAAACAGTTTCCCCAGGCTTTCACCTCTCTGCCTTTATGGCAATTTCTCCTCTTGTGTCCCTCTCTTCCAGTAAGAAAACTTCTTACTGAAGAGGCTCTGGCTCACATCTTTAATGTTCAATCATTTGAGCTACTGAATACTCATTATTGAAATTAGTGCAAATTAAGCATGTGTTAGCGGCATCAGTTCAAGATAGCATCACTCTTTATGACAGTACATAAGCACACGCTTTTCTGAATTCTGGTCTAATTACAGTACTGATTAGGAGCAGGTTTAAGCATGTGCTTAAGCAGTAATGGTCAGAATAATGTAACTCTAAATACTGTGATCCCAACTATCAGTAAATGAACTTTTATCCAGGTAGGTTTGAAAAATGATTGCAGCATCTAAGTCCAAGTAATTATAGTCTCTGTTTCTTGCCATTTTTTTATCACTTAGATTTCTTGGAATCAAGTGCTTACATGCAGATTAGAAAGAAAACACATAGGGCTAAAATAACACATTTATTACATGCCATGTTACAGTTCACTGCATTCCCATTTCTATTTGCGCTCACAGTACTATGGGAAACTAAAATTATTTCATCAGAAACAAACGAAGTACACAGAAAAGTTTGTCAATAGACAGAAGCAAGTGTATCCATAAGCCAAACAGCCATAACATCCAATAGCTTTAATACTCCATTACATTGTTTCATAGAAATTAGAGATGAAAGACTTCTTATCCATCCCTTGCCAATTCAGGATGTTTTCTGTTCTCCAATTCAGTCACTGGAGGCTGATTGGCAACTGACAACCACATGAATAGAAAAATCTAACTAGATGTGCCAGAGGAGAGCAGGCTGTGAAATTTGTATTTCCCCTTGTGAACTGCCAAGTTCTTTCAAGTTCCTTTTGTTTAAAGGTAAATTAATGAAACTCAGGAGCTCACAAAATCTGGGCCTTGTATTGTATAGCAAGTAGACTGCTTTTCAAGTACACATCCAACACACTGCTGCTGAAGCCACCTTCTTCCTACAGAGGAATGTGTTTAGTGTGCTGTCAAAAAGCATCAAACTGCACTATGGAATAAAACTGACACATTTCCATTGTACTGAACATTTTCTGAAAATGAGACTCTAAAGAAACAATAAATTATAGTCGATCAGTGTTGTTAATGATGCCACACTTCTATGCTCAGTATAACAGTCAGAAGTTGGTGCTCAGAAAGGTCACGCAATAAATAATGTCAGCCAACCTTGACAGCAGGCTTTCAGATTCTCTCAACCACTTTCATATTTCATCAGCTAAATACTGAAATAAAGTTTGCATTAAAATGGGATCTTCTCTGTCACACTTTCTTCCAGAATCACTGCACATAGTCTTGCATTCTCTATTAAACTTCGGGGCTGAACACCGCAGTAACATTTCATCTGCAATGTGTATTGCATATCATATTATGTCTGGTACCAACTAGAATATAAAAATACAGTAACCTTTTCTGAGAAATTCAGAGGAGGGAGCACATTCAATAGATTTTTTTTTTGGGGGGGGAGGGTCGTTCATGTATCATTTTCTATTATTAGCCATTAATCATGTCTTTATCTCCAGTACCGAACATCCTTACCTACAGCCAAATGCTAATCCCATTAATCCTCTTTAAAGATCTGTAAGGTCTTCTGTGTAATTCTGACTTTTACTTAATGCATATCTTAATTTTACAGTGATTTTTGCAAGCTCACTTGAGACCAGTTTCTTTTTGAGACAGGAGGAAAGACTGCACTTTTCCATAATAAAGACAATGGATTTAAAAATAGAAATGAGATACTAAATGCTGCCAGCCAGCAATAGTCAACACAGAGAAGTCAGTCCAGAAAGGCTACTACTGAAGAATTGCTACCAAAGTGAATAGAAGCTCTGACCACAGAAAGGCTAGAGAACCAGTCTTATGATTTTTGGGGGGATACATTCCATCTTGGAGAAGGATCTGCAATGCATAAGGATTATTTTTACTTTCCCTCCACCCACCCCACCCCCAGTAACAGGGCTTTTCCGTTAGAAACAAACAAATATCAAGGAGGTAATTACACAGCAATTCATACACAGGTTCAGTAAATTCATGCCATTTGGCTTTGGCTCAGTGAGTAGCATACGCAGTAACAAGCAGAGTCTACAAAATTATACTGTATGCAAAGTGGAGCAGGTCACACACTACACTCTTAGGGCTGGAGATTTAACACAGTGGCTTTGAATACGATGACTATAGCACTGTTACAGGTTTTCCAAACTCTGATGATACAGATTCTACCGAATGTAGAGTTATGACTTTTTCTCTGGTCCTGAGTATGAATCAGACAAAGGAGAGGGGAATGGGGAGGACGTGAAGAGCATTATGCTTATCAGCCAGAATCTCAGTTAGCCAACATCAGTCTGGTTTCCATGAAATGAGCAAGCAATGGCAGCTGGGTAGGAATTTTTGAAAGTTGTAGCCCTCTTGGAGAACTTTGAGGAACTCACAACAGTGAAGTAATGGCAGATGGAGCACCGACATGAATGTAACCTAAGATTGAAAGCCAAAAGCCTATATCAATGGTCAGGATAAGACAAGCTCAGAATTACCCTTGGAGTTTTTGTGATACATCAATTTCTTGCTGCTCTAATCTCTGCATTCTGTATAAATCTGAATGTGATTAATTATGACTTAATCACTCTTTTTAACATATTGCAGAGAACAAATGGCTGGTTGAAAAATAGAAATGTTCCATTTCAACTTTTTTAAATCAGGGATTAATAAAATCATCACCTTACGGATGAAATGGATGAGAATAACTAATCCCGTTTTATTAAGGCTTTCTTTGTAAAGGTGTAAGAGGTGTTACAAAATTCATCTGCATTATCATTTAGGATTAAAATTGAAAGCTTATGTAGAACTGTCCAGTTAAATAACATAGCCTCTTGACTCTGCATTTTGTTAGAGCTGGACAAAAATATGTGTGTGTTCAGGCAAGTTAAATCTTAGGGATATTTATTTTTAAATTTTCTCTTCAAAATACCAATATCAGTTCTATAGTTGATCACAAGAGGGAGACTACATCACCATATTTCCTCTCATTGTTTCAAATTTTTAAAGCATCCAAACAATTTGAGTCATTTTGGACCAGCTCTAATCTTTGACTGCTCACTGAAAAGTGTTGATGACTGTTCAATTAGCATTTTTTTCTGAGTTTGTCAAACCTCTGAAATTTATAGATAAAGATAGCCAATCCAGTAAACAAGATTGAACAATGCAAAGGCAGTTGGAAAGAAGATTCGAGAATAGGAGTCAATTTTTGCAATACGGATGTGTATCCTTCCTTCTCTCCAAGATCCTGTGCGGCAGTCTTCAAAACAACAAAAGAAGCTAGCACAGTCTTTCCCTTCTAGGCACTCATATCCATAATCATCATCACGTTCAGGGAGATGATTAATGTTATTAATTGGAATTAATGTTGATCCAGGTCGAACAGCAATTGCAGGTGGTTTCTTAAGAAAAACAAAAAAGAAAAATATAGTTTTGCAGGTTTTTTTATCCTCACATTAAATAATTCCATAGGCTTTCCATAGCAACGGCCAATATAAGCACATTCAGTATAATATACAGAAATTCTAATATTGAAGAGAACAGTTTGGGACCTTTGCGAATTATGAACTGCTGTATATAATTAGCTCATGCAGGCAAAAGATCATGAGTGATTTTCACCTGCCACAGTGAAAACTGGGTTGTGCTGGGATTTGGGAATAGTGGATAATTAGTTACACAGACGGGGTTAGCTGATCCCATCTACACAACACAAATGAACATTTTGAAGTCAGTCACAGCTTGACAACTGGGTCACAAGCAAGTCCACGAGCAGGCTATAAGCACCACTACCAAGGGAATGACAGTTCTCCCATCATTTGGAGTCTTTAGAACGAGACTGGATGTGTTTCTAGAAGCTACATTTTTCACCAAAAAAAAAAGCTAATGGGATTAATATAGCATCACTGGTGAAGTTTAAGAGACTGAGACACATAAGGCCAGGCTACATCATCTAACCCTCTGACGTTAAATCCCTAAACAATATGCCCCGCCTTTAGAAACCAAGACATAAGACTCCTTAGGAGAATGCCATTGAAGTCAGTGAAACTGATTAATTCAGCTCTTAATTCTTACTTTTACTTTCTGTGGGCATAACTCAACCCTCTTGCAGTCTGGTAAAACTCATTGTAATAGATGTTAAGGTTCATAAATAATTTTCACAGAAAAAATCTGGGTGCCTTATTGCCTAGTACATACACTGTTTGCTGTTCCCTTTCTTGCGACTTTTGCCTTTTCACCCTCCTTTTACTTGCACTACCACAGCCCATCTGTCCCCCTTTTATTATTTTGCTTCCACACAGCTCTTCACTCTTCATCCTTGTTTTCCTGAACATTTCAAAAGACATTATCTTTCTCTATCTGTCCTTTTTTTCTCTATATAAATCTCATAGCCTTTTTAAACTACTCCATAATCCTCTTTCTTTCAAACCCCCTCACCTTTGGCATCTCTTCTAAAATCTTCAGACTGAAGGTAGGGGTTACATCAACACTATTCTTACATTGTCTTCTCTCTTTTCTCCCATCTCCATATTTTGTCATGTAAGGAATAAATACAGCAGGAGAGGATGCAGTCAGAAGAACTAACTGGGTATTGAAGTGTAGAGAAGAATCTCTCTTAAACAATTATACATGATAGGCAATGAAAAGAAATGAAGAAAATATGAAAAGCAGGAAGCCACATCATTTAGATTCTTGTTATGTTTTAGAGTCCTGTTGTCCCACTTCCAGGGAATTACTTTGGCCAGTAAACAGATCTCTATACGTTGTTAAGGAGGCACTCTATTGCTGCAAGGACATTTTACCCAATGTCTCAAGGGGTGATAAAGCAGTGCAGTATCCACCACGTTTTCAAATGTCTTTACCAGATGAAGTTTCACACAGACTGCTGTTTCAACACTTTTTAGACATGATGACCTAGGGAGCTAATTATCATTCTAAAGGACCTCATTATTCTTTTCCGGTATGATAAAGTACTGACAACACTAACAAACAGCAGTTACATGCTTCTACCCTAATTTGAGATATTACAAACAGGGCTTATTTTTATAAAACATAAAAAGTAAGTTCAATTTTTTTTTTGAACTTACAAAATCATTATTTTGTTGAAGATATATAGGGAAAGATGTTTATTTCTGATTCACGCCTACTCTGGCTTTACAAGAATTTTCTGACTGTTGGTTCTGCCAGTGTAAGATTCATGGTATGATTCATTTCTACTAGTGGGGTAAAACAGGAGTCCCCAACTCAGAAACACCACGGGAGGAAGAAAAAAATAACAGTACTGCTTTTCACTGCTGATGTCACCAGCACAGACGGAAGCAGGCTACTGAATTACAGGTTTGAAGAAGTTGCCTGAGAGAGACAAAAAGACAGTGCCATCTTATAGACGTAACTACCTACAGGGAATACATAAAATGTGTGTAAGAAAGAGACAACATGAGGGAAAAGGGGAAAAAAGACCAACACCTCACAAGAAAATGACCTTATATCAATTGGCAGACACTTAAAAAAAACCCCAAAAACACATAGATAGAGTAGTACATGCTGATTGTTCATGTACATGCCTACTGATATTGTAGATAAAACTCCACGTATAGTGAGAAGCATTTATAATACAATCTGATAGGACCAAAACCAAATTATTCTGCATTAACACTAGTACATGTACAAAAGAAAGCCATTGTCTGTGGAGATCATAGCACAGGTGACGCATTCACTTCAGGTGAAATGATAATCAGAACAAGATGCACAACTAATTAAGTTTAATCTTTCCTGCTCAAACTCATTATCCTTACTAATGTGGATTTACATAAGCCAATTCATACTACCTTTCTTGAATGATGCCAGCACATATTTTGTAAAATAAAACTGCTATAATCATTTATAAAATCTCACCATTTTTTCACAAGATCATTTATTGAACCTTCTTGGCATCAGTTCCTGGAATAATAAGCTTTTATTGCATTTTGCGATAGAAATAGAAGACCTATGCAAGGCAAGTTTTCCAAGGAAAAAAACACCTGTAAATGAGAACTTTTCAGAAGGAATTAAACTGACTATTTTCATTAAATTGGTTTTTTGAGTTACATATCCATAACTACATGAGAAAAAGAATTAATAGAAGTCTTTGACAAAGATAAAGTGGGGGAAAAAAGAAAAAGAAAAATATGGATTTGTAATTGTATGACTTCCCATTAATTAATCAGATGGCTTCTTTAATTTGTTCTATTTGAACAAGAAATTTTATAGCTTTTTATAAAACATCACCAAAAGAATTATTTATCAAATTAGAATCCTTGCATCTAAGTATATTAAATTTAATCCCCCCCCCTTTTTTTAAGAGTGATCTCTTATCTAATACGGTCTTATAGCCACAACGTGCTTAAACATGTTTAAAGAATTCTGTGTGAAAAGATGGTTGTTTTTCAACTACTTAGAAATAAAAAGCATGCTTTAAGAACACAGTAAAACACAACAGAACAGTGTTTTGAGTATTATATTGCTAATTTTAATCTTAGTCCAAACTCCAGCTATTTGACGGTTGGACTCGATGATCTTAGAGGTCTCTTCCAACCTTAATGATTCTATGATTCTATTTATTCAATAGGTGTCATAGTTTCTCTCTCACTATTATTCTGCGTTTTAAATTGTCATATGCACTGAAAACCTCAAAGCATTTGGCAGATTATTGCACAAATGGCTGATGTGTGAACAGATTCTGGAAAGTCTCGTTACTCCACTCAATAGAGTATATTTGCAAACCACTTCAATGGCTTTTGATCTGCCAGCAGCTGATCTTTAATATCTCCCTGGTTTAAATAAGCAGTATTTCCTGCCCTCTTCCTTTTTTCCTTGTTGTGCATGCTGAGAGCAGACCTATTTCAGCTCCCTGTTCCCTAAGTGTTGTTGAGACCTCGTTGCAACAACCGAAAACTGAATCTGCTATGCTAACACTGGGAATTCCCCCAAATTCTGCAGCCTCTGTTATCTTTTACCCTCACTGCTCAGCTGTGGCCCTTGCCAAAGCCTATTTTCCATCCTTTCCATTGTGCTCACATTTGCTTCTACCACTAACAGGAAGGAGGCTTGAGGTTTCCATTTTCCAGTTCTCTCGGCTGTGCTGGATTCCCTGAGGATCACAGTGATGTACAACCAAGGCAGCACAGGGCAGTATTAATCCTTCACCACTAGCCTTGTCCTAAATACAGAGCTGATGCACTCAGACCAGCTCACCATATGAAATGTAAGAGCTCTCATTTCCCTAGTATTAAACCACAGCAGCCCCGCAGGGCACCCATAAAACAGCCTCCCACAGCAGCGCTGCTCAAAATGACTGCGCCAGCGCTTTCCGACACTAGTCGCAGAATGGATATGGTTCATAACAGGATTTCTGCATTTCCATATCTGGGCTTCTATAATTTCATTTCAACTTCTGTTTGATCTTACACAGGTGGTATTCACCCTTCACCCGGAACAGACAACTGACATTATGATTCAGCTATGCTCCAGCTTCCTTTGATGAAATGATCTGGAAGGGGGCTTTATAATATTGTCCTTCTTTTTATTCTCTCTAAAAGATGACTACAATCAAGCCTCAAATATTAAGACTAGTGTTCGAATGAATACGCTATTTAACACCTTTACCTCAATGTTTTATTAGTTTAAAGATTAGCTTTAAACATTTGTACTGGCTTCCAACAATAGATTCTTTGGAAGTTCCAGTATTCTTACTACACGAACAGAAAGCCTCTTAAAATTGAGTAATACTTGTTCCTGGGATATGTGGGGATTCACACCATACAAACATCAACTTGTAAAAGCAGAAGGTTCATTTTACCAGAAAGAAACATGGAAGTAAATGAAAAAAAAAGAGTTAAAGTAGAATTTCTGAAGTGGAAGGGAGTCAGAATACTGACCAATAGTAAGCACTTCTTTCTTTGCGAAGCTAGCAAGGTAAGACCCAAGTTAGGTGATGCAGACCCAAACAAATCCTCATACCTTCAGTCCATTTACATTATCTCTACTGCTACAGTCTTATCTATGGTTCTTTGCCAGGTGCTGTTTTCAGAAGCACTGTGCCCAGACAGAACTGTCTCCGTGGGCACACATTCCACGGACAGCTCTAGAAGCACCAAGGGCTTGGGCATGGCATGGAAGCATGGAATATTATATTAAACCACCCTCTAGCTTAGGCTCCTGTGTTCTCATTCACATATGAGTGGAATGATCTAAAACCTTTGTTCATTCATAGTATTTACAGAAAATGAGTACAAGCCCCCAACTGTAAAAAAAAAGATAAAATAAATATTAGTGTTAATTATCTTTGAACATTAGCCCTTCTACTTAAGAACCAGTCTCTCAAATTAATGCTACAATAAAGAGCATTCTGCATTTTTTTTTCTTCTTGTTTGGCTAAACTTACTGATGGCTTAGATTTTGCCTTCTTTTCTTTTCCTTTGTCCCCTTTTCTGTTGCTGGTAAAGTAATGCAAGGTGCCATACTCCATCAAGGCAGCAAACACAAAAATGAAGCAAACTGAAACAAAAAGGTCCATCGCTGTCACGTAGGAAACCTTTGGGAGTGACTTCCTAGCAATTGTACTCAACGTTGTCATGGTCAGCACTGTTGTAATGCCTGTTTGAGAAAGAAAGAAAAAAAGACAGGAAAAGGGAAGTGTATAAGTAATCCAATCATATTGTCACAAAAAAATCCTCAAATTAGCCCTTAATTCATTCATGAGGCATACAAGAACCGAGCCACAGCAGGGTTCACTGCTGATCACACCCACACACACCGGTGCTATTGCAAGAAGCCATCCCTATGGATCCAGTGGCCACCGTGGGATCGTACAGAAGGCAGCACATTTCACTTTCAGTTTAAATCCCTCCCATTTTCCACACACACTGAATAAACAAAGACACAGAGAAAGTTTGTGTAATTTTATAAATCTGTTAGAGAATGCACACATAAAACAAATACAATAGACAAACAGGTACAAATAAGCACACAGATTTTATAAACACAAAAAAAGTCCTTTGGCTCTTGAAAGATTAAAATGTACAAAAGGACACATTCAGAAAAAAAGGTGTATTATTTATCAGTGATTTCAAACTTCCAGAAAACATGAGAAAAAGGAATAATGTTTTCAATTGTGTGCTTCTGACATGTAGCAGATCAAACCAGATGACCTTCATGGCCTTTCTGGTCTCATTATAAGTTATTAGGTATTTTTTCAATACTAGAAAATGTTTCCCTTGATTCACTTACATACAAGTTAATTAAAAGAACAAGCCGGCCTTAATAGCGATGTGTTCAGAATCTCAACTATAGCACTCTTCACTGGTTTAACATTTAGAAGGTGTTAACACTTTCTTCTTATATTGGATGCTTCAGGGAGATGCAAAGCCTTTTTCACAGTAGTCCAAAATTAAGATGTGACCTTTCCTTTGGAGAGCAATACTTGAACACACAAATAATTTGTTATTTACATGCACAGGCTTATTGCAAAAAATATGTTACACCAGTCTAAGGCTGTCTATGGCTTTTAAATCAAAGCATGGAATCAGGGGTCGCTATGGACTGATCCTGCAGCAGGAAAGCAGCGGTGGTTTTGCATCAGATTTCCCAATGAAATTACATGCCTAAAAGGGCAAACAGATAACCACACAGTTTTTCAAAAGTGCTTCACTCCCACTACATGCTTTTGAAAATCAATTAGGCATTTCTCTGCATAATTAAATATCTAAATAACTTTAATCATCTCAAACCTTTTGCTTTGGGAAACCACAATCTGCCAGGATCTTTCAAAATATACAGAAGAAAAAGGCCCAAGCCTTTTCAGTGTACCGGACCCCAGCACAGCCTCCAGGTGGGAGTTGACGCCCACCATTCCCCTTACTGACTTCTGTTCAGAGGGGACAAAGGGAGACATGGATTTTCCCAGCCCTCTCCACTATGTGAAAGGCATACAGGGGGCTGTCACAGGGAGCAAACCTTCCACGACTGCTTGCCCCGATGGACCTTGCTTAGTTTTGGCTTTCTTGTCTTAATTTCTCAGTCTTTTTCTATAAAATTGTGTCTATTCGACTGGTATTCTGTTTCTTCTTCACCAGAACATCTGTATGTGAGAAAAGTCATCCTACAGTCTGTCAAACGATGGCTTCTGCATGTTCACACAAAAAGAGCTCGGAGTTAACTGCAGGGAGCTGTAAATATGATATTGCAAACATTTGTAGTACATCTCAAGTAGATGAAGGTTAGTACTGCTGAAGTGGGAGCATGAAAACTCTAGCTTAACCATGAGATCAAAAGCAACTTTGCTAGGTTCATGGCATAGAAAAAGTACTCTGTAAAAAGAACAAACTGGGTACAGAACTAGCAGGATACCAATGCAACAGTTTTTCCTGTTATAGTTAGTATCTTTCTAGAGAGTACCCACAATGATGTCCAATGATTAGTCAGCCAAAGAAATCGTATAATAAATTTCTAAATCAAGATTTGAAACTATCAAGAGATGGTTTCACATATTTATTCAAGATTTTCGGCTCACTTCACTAAACTTTGCAGTACTTTTAAATAGCATAAAGTTAAGACCCAAGACTCAGGTTTTCTTCCCTTACCTTTTCATTAGGCTACTGAGCCATGCTCATTTTTGCTTACTTTCTTTCTTTACCCATTAATCTTGCAGGCTTGACTGCACAGTGGTCCAGTTTCAGTGGGAAAAGCAGGGAGTTAACCTCACCCTTCTGGTAGGAAACACTCCTAGAATGTGGGAATGGTGTGTTCACAATCCTATAAGCTGATGAGGAAAATTAACTCACATCTCTAACTTCCTAAGATACACTCTCAGCTCTTGCTATTTCCCCCAAAATAGGTCATACTGCTGTCACTAGTTTTACTAAAAGCATCTGTCACTGCTAAGCTCGAAGTTGCTAGTGTGCGTCCTCCATGTGCACTCCATGCACCCCTGCCTATCCTGCATTATGTGGGGACTACAACGCTTCTCCAAGGCAGTGCATGAATCCGAAACAGACAAACGTTGCAGACTGACACCATGATAAACAGGTCAGCCAAGATGACACTAACACAGAATTATCTCTGTAGCCGAACTTGCAACACACTTCAGTACTGTCTGTAGTAAAAACAGGACAGTGAGTCAGTTTTTGTAAGTTATATGTTTAACTGCTTGAAGTGCAACATTTTGTTGCAAATTTTCTGTCCTACCCTGGGCTTAAAAGAACAACTGAATCATTTCTATTATTAAAAATACAACAACAACAAAATCCCCTAAAAAAAACCCCAACAGATCTTCACAGTTTTCACCTGTGTAGCAATGGCATCCTTTGTTCCATGATGCTAAATTAAGTTTAATCATACTTGTCAGACTAATGATTTCCATATTGCCATCCCTGGAGATGACAAAAAGAACATAAGGGAGAAAAAATGTATTTATGGGAACAACAGCAGATCCCCAAGGCTTGGATCAGGATATCCAGATTTCCATTCTGAACACTCCCTCCTTAAGCCCTGCTGCGCAACCACAGCAGGATCCTCCTACTCTTAATCTTGCAGTTCAAGAGAAAGGGTGACCAATGGTCACAATCTGAAGGGGAATAAACTGTGGTTGGTTTACTCCCTGCTGCAGATTTGTATTCCTGGGGAGTACCAGACCCTTCAAGGTTGAAAAAAGACATTCTTACCCAGAGAAGTCCTTGCAGGAACTGCATCCTTATTGATCCAAAATGACACCCATGAAAGAACAACTGTGAGTATACAAGGAATGTATGTCTGAATAGTAAAATATCCCATACGTCTGCTGAGATCAAAGAAGATTGTCATAATAATATAATCACCTAGAAATTAAAAAAAAAGAAAAAAATACTTACACGACATTGAAAATGGCTTTCAGTTCTATCTTCATCTGTTAGTCTTGTTCTACATAGATATTACATGAAATAAAACTTAACACTTTGCCTTACCAGACAAGGTATGAGAAATTTCAGTTGTATTTCGTAACCCTACAAATGCAAACTGATACAATCTCCAGTATTTTGGATCTGCCACTTCAACAGAAGTTTTCTTCCATTTGTACTCAATTTCATTTCTGGGGTATCCATCTAGAATAAAACAGAGAAAATCAAGCGTTCAGCCACAGTATATACCAAAGCATGTTTTGTGATGTCTGGAGTTGTTTATAAACTAAACCAGGGCTATACATAAAGTGGATCAGAAAGAAAGCCAATCTATAGTCCACCTGATACACTTAAAATTTAACCACAAAATATCTAGCATCAGTTTTAAGCCTAGCTAAATGTATGATCGATCAAAAACTATGCAAATACAAATGTTTAGGAAATATCTACACAATATTCTGGAACTTAGATATGAAAAACTCCCTCAGAATCATCACTATGAATTAATACACAAATGTAATATACATTATAATTAAAAGACCACAAAGAGCTTAAAAGGACAGTCACTTATTAGTACATAATTTGATAAAATTCCTATTGTCATTTATTGAAAATTTCTTTGTCTATTATTCCCAGAATGGATTTTTGTGGCCTGATTCACTGTCCAGTACTTCAACTTTAAGGAAGTGCAACCCTTTTGATTTTCATGTGCCTCACACACTGCCCCACATTATCTTGCGGAAAGGCAGAAATGAAATTAAGCAAGAGTCGCTTGTGTGGCACAACTATTTAATCAATGGAGCTACCAAAGCACATTTAGCTGGAAGCACTCAAGAAGGAAGTACTAAATGAAAACATTAATTTAAAAAGAATCACTGAAGTTTGATTTCATTGCCTATTAGGTTTCACATTTAGGAATAAATCATTTAGTTGTGTTCAGGTGGTTTGGGTTTCTTTTGCCAGTAATAGCACAATTCCCTTAGGAACATGTTGGGGTTTTTTTGATATAGTTTATATTAAAGAAATGAAGCCTGAAAGTTGTGTTTCTTGCTCACATAAATAAGTCCCACTGAAAGGAGAAGGACTTCTTTCACTGATTAAGCATTTACAGGAACAGGTTGAAGAAGACAGATCTTATTTTTCCTTTTAAGTATACCACATGGAACTAATTCAAAGCTGGCAAGTCTGGCAGGCATAGAAAATAAAGTTCTTCCAGGGCAACAGATTTCTCTTGACTAGAATGGGCATTGTGTCAGATTCCTAAGCAATACGATTATTTTTAAAGTTGCAACTAAATGAAATGCATGTAATTCAACTCATTCATTACTGCATTTAATAATGCATTAAAAATGCAATAAATCTAATCAAAACATAAACAGGTCAATTCTTTCCTTTACTACAAGGCTTTAGAAAGTAAATACTTGCTCTCTTGCTGCCAGAAATTAAAGCCTGAATGTAAAGAAAAAAAAAATAAAAAAGTATTTTACCACCTACAGCTTGAAAACTCCAGTGGACAGGAGTGTTCATCCATAGGAAAGTTATGAAGCTGAAGATAACATTCAGCATTAATTGTCAGCCTAATTAGAAAAGGAAGGGGAAAAAAAAAAAAAGAAAAAACATTATATTCAAGCATCCAGACACATCAGACTAGATAGTAAAGAACATGCACAGAAATCAGTTTTGCCAATTAATGGATGTTACGCATAGCCAACTGTGTATCTGCAAAAAACATCCAGCATCACTGCCAAAGAACAAAAGCTCTCATCATATGCAACCTGAGGACCTGCACTGTTTCAGCTGGCATTTTGAGCCATATCAAAAATTTCAATTGATTTGGGGGGATCTCTCAGCTCTCTACCAGAAATAGGGGATAAAAGGGGGGGACTGAAGGCAGGGCAAGGAGGGGAGTTTATGAGAGCAAATAAAGGAAGCTTCTGAAGAACACATTTGTCAAGTCAAATTGCATTTGGCATAATTGTATCTGGTGGCTATATACACGAGAGAGAAAGTGGGGACACTTGGGCTTGCTCTATACTCATGGAAGCAGCTCTGATGAAGACAGTAGCACGGATAGGAAAGAGCAGACTTGATATTTCTACTCATTTAATGTCTAAGGCATTCAAGTAATTCAGGCAGCTAATATACACTTTAGGAGTAGTTTAGGACTCATAATGGTTTCAACTGAATCACTTGCTGCTTTTGAAAACACTATCACAGATTTCCAAAGACCTTCCAGGCAACCAGTGCAAAACCCAGTTCTGCTAACTTTCACTAGGAAACTAGAGTAAGGGGCTAGACTCCAAACTGCCTTCTTTGCATTCAAAATAGCTCCTTCTTTGTTGGTAACACAGTGAAGAAAGCCAGAATGTCTTCTAAAATCAACTTTGAAAATTAACATAATGCTTACATACTGGACTGTATGCAATACTAGACAAAAAGGGAGGGGAAAGGAAGATTCTGCCACGCGCTGCCAGAAAGCCCTGTAAGTCCGTGAACAAAGTAGTTCTTCTACACAAAGCATCACTAGGACCTTTCTAGAAATCTGCCCTGACCAAGACAGAGGTTTATAAGGGAAAAGTGTATTTGTTGCCGGGGGGGGGAGGGGGAGAGAGAAAAAAAAACCCCACATTTCCAAGTAAAACACTTGCATCCCTCTGAAGATGCTTTACAATTTGCCAACTATGGTATATGTATTTACTGCCTTTGTTTTCCATTTTCAACCTTTGGATAGTCAAATGCTTCAAGAAAAAGAAAACAGAAACAGACTTATATTAAAAGCAACACAACTAGATCTGGAATCACTGATGGGTGCAACGGACAGACCAAGGACTACCCTCAGAGGAGACTCAGTAAGCCTAACAGAATCACCACGTCTGCTCCCTCAATTACCAACGGGGAAAGAGTGGTGGTACAGGGGAGACCGTGAACCTGGAGCACTGTCAGATCCTATTATTGTTCCTTCAATAACCAACATATGAACCTCTCAGTGTTACTCCACCTTAAGCCAAATTCAGGCCATATCCTCACCTATGCAGATGTTTGCATGTTGCAGTGCTGGGTGAATACCTGCTCTGCTGTTTTGTTATTAGCTCATTGCACTTTATAGCTCATACTCTAGCACAAAAATTCTAACCTATTGCTCTGGGAGAGCTCACATGTTTTTTTTGGTTGCATTTGTTTGTTTCTTTGTTTTACTTAGACCCTGTTTAAAAGAAATTTTATATTGAAACTGAATGGACAATGGAAGGATAAAGTCCAAGTATGATTCTAGAATTGTTAGCTACAGAAAGAAAAAAAAAATTAGCATGTGAACAGAAGAAGCTCTCGAGATTTTTATAAACATCAGCATAATAAACTGTTTAAAAACTGTTATTCAGAGATATTTGTATGCTCTCAAATGAAACATATTAAGAAAAAATTGAGTGAAGAGAATCTTTTTAAAACATTCTGATTCTTCTTACTTCTGATACAGAAGACTTTTATAAATTGTTCATACAACACAACTAGCCTGCATATGAAAACAGTGTAAATGACTGAAAAGAAAGTAATTAAAAGGTGCTACTTTTTGTTTAAAATAAATAAATAAAAAAAACTCCTAAGAGCAGAATCAGATTTATGGCATCCTCTGCATGGACTGCTTCTTGATCAGCTCCTAATTTATTGCAAGGGGGTTTAGGCATACTTAAACCTGAGATGACCCTAAAATGCTTTCTGTAGACTACAGCCTTTCAAGGACTGTTTGATAAGTGACTCAAAAATCAGTATAGATAGCCAAGATGGTAAACTTAAAACCAGCCCAAGCATCCCCCATTTGCCAAGAAGAATTATCACCAGCATGTTTGCTTATGCCTGATTTGGATGAACAGATTTGTTGATTTTAATAGCTTGCAAGGGTAAACATGTGAAGAAGTATATGCAGGACTGGGGCCTTAGCTTTAATCAAACTTCTTATGATTTTTATTATCTGAAGCATTTCACCTTTTACTTACAGAATATAATTTGGTGGAAATTAGATACAGAAGTATTTAGAACAAAGTCTGCAATATGACTATATGACTTTATGCAATATGCAATATGACTTTATGACTATATCTGCAATATGTTAGTGACAGACCACCACATCGTGCTACATGCTACATAACATCTTTTTTTTAATCTTGCCTGGACCTAAATGAGATTAAAATTTTCTACCCCCTTCAATTGTCTCTACCCAGCTATCTAGGCAATATATTTCAATGCTATTAATTTCATATTTTTAATCATCAAATCATCTTTCTTTTTTTTTTTCTCCTTTAGTAAACTCCTTGCAAATTCCTGTGGTCCAGAACAAAAGACATCCCAAGGATTTGATTTACATTCATTATTTTCATATTCCTGGTCATAATAGTTTTTATTTTTTTCTACCCAGTTAATAAAAACCCACCTTAGAGTGTATAATACTCTTCCATCACTCCAGATTCGAAGCAAACGATTTGGAGTTGTAATCCAGTGAGCATCAGATTTCCTTGAGTTCCGGAAGAAAGTGTCTGGAATCCAAATTTTTCCAACCATGTTGCTATTAAGCATAAGCACTTTCATTGAGCTGTTAAACTTTAGGCGACTGTCATACCACGTCTGGGCAAAAATTATATCTATGGTGTATTCCTAAAAACAGAGAAACAACCATACTCATGTATACATTTACCAAAGTCTGCAAGCAAAGAATTTTTAATTCATACATAAATCTAAGGCCACTTCTCCTATTTTCTTTTGTATTACCATTTGCATAGCACACAGCAGCCTGTAACCCCAAACTGAGAAACTACAGATGAAAGACGTACACAGCCTTCTGTCCCTACCTCCTCTCCCTTGACACACATTGATCAGTTAAGGAAGAGGGGACGTGATGGGAGCTTGCTGTAACGTGGAGGTACCCGCATACTGCAACCACCTCTGGGGACCCTGGGCAGAAATTTAAGGGCAACCTTAATACCTCAGGGCTAGACTGTTTGTTAGGGCAGAGATTCTACATCTCTTAAGAAGCAAACCAAATAAACTTTCTATGTTTTTTCCCCAAACTTTACAACACGCAATTTAAGATCCTTCAAGAAATTTCGGATTTTGAAAAATTCATGAATATGCAGGAAGTAAACATCACAGTTTGCAGAACTATCCGTTACCATCTGCCTCATATACCTACCTACAGACACACCAAAGTATACATAATCATAATCAGGAAGATTTCCCTAAAGAAGTTCCACTTTACTTATTAAAGCCTCAAGAAAGCTCCTTTTGTGATAGAAAGTCAAATTCCTCAGCAGACTTATGGCCAGAAAAGAAAGGTGAAAAATAAAATAAATAAATAAATAAAAGGAAAACCCACAGCCTTTTAATGAGACAATTCTTGACACAGTAAAACTTTAGGGAGATAAACATTACAGATGCAATGAAATACTGTTTTTCAAAGAATCCAGCCAGTTGTTCCTGCACTCCAGACAAAGGAGCAAAGCAGCAGCCTCTGTTGTATTTATCACAGCTCCAGATCATGACTCTGACCTTAAGGGCAACAGTCTCTACTTGACAGCAGATGTGATCTTTCCTGCATGGCTGCCCCATGAGGGCTCCAATGAGCAACTCAGCAGCTCCTTTGCAGGGAAAAAGAGCTGGAGACCAGACGTAGACTCTTGGTGCTGGTTGTTCACCTCTCAGTTATGGGATGAGTGGGTAGGGGGAAAAGAGAAGGAGACAGTGGTTCAAACTTTCGTTTGAGCCAAAGGGGTCGCTGCTAGTTTACTTGGTCAATAAAAATGCACAATGCAGTCAATTCTGGTTTTAAATAAAATAAAAGTGGAAGGCTTTGCTGTTGGGGGGGGGGGGGGGTTTTATTTTTTTTTTAAAAAATATTTTACTTTTAAATAATCACAGCAGCCAACTGTACGAGTTACAGACTCCTCACTCATTTCTGCAACTGATACCACCCATCTCCCAGGAAAGTTTATGACATTTTGCACTTCATCCTTCAGAAGTGCCAAGGCAGATATTCCAGGACTACCTAAATCTCTCTCAATTTTCCCACCTCTCCAGGTGGGAGAAGAACAGGTTCAGGAAATAGATATGCAAGAGGGAGATTTGCCCTTGCTCTGTGATGTATGGCAGCTGAATTACCACCTGGACTGTGGTAACTTAGTGACTCTCAAAGGTTATAAATAAATAGCGTATGAGGCAAACAGTGGAGGGACATAGGGAACAAAAGGACTAATCAAAAATGCATTTTAGAGATGACTTTTCTCTGAAACTCTGCTTATTCCTTGCATTGCAAGGAATGGAATGCAATTCCTGCATTGCCATCAGGGGAAGATTCTGCAGGTCAAAACAACTCCTTCATTATTTTATTTCTGTAAACAATGTTCAAGACACCTGTGAAAACCCAGGGCCTGTTTAACCTTAAAATTCACCTTTCTGTGCTCATCCATAGTGGTTACAACTGGAAAGGAAACTTGCCTTGCAGTAGTGTAAACAAGAGCCCGAGGCAGTGCACCGGAGAAGTGTTTTAATGGGCTTAAATGGAACAGAATGAACAAAGATTTACATGTTGCCTTTACAGTACAAATAGGAGAAAAAAAAAAGTCAGTGAGTGAAATCAACAGACACGAGCAAATGTATGGAAAGAGCAGACTATCTGAGTTTGAAGGTGCTGCTCTAAGCAGCCACTTCACAGTAGCACTGCATTGTCTGAGAAAAAGAAATTTATCAAAGTGTCATTACAGTCAAATCTACCCAGAGCAAGAAAACTCAGGTTGCCATAGAATACCAACCACCTTAAAAAATTAAGATAAAAAAGGAAGAGGAGAGCACAGATTATTTTGAACACACAAAGCAAAGGAACAAGGAACAGAGACCCAGATGCTTGTATTCTCTTACCTTTCAGTATTAAATGTGCAAGTTTTTATCATACCCATGTATTACAGGAGTTGTTTAAAGAACTTTTGGGGAAAAAAAAAAACAACTTTGTTAAAATCCTTCATGATACATTTATCACTGTTCAAAAAGAATCTAATACATAATAGTTTAATATCATAAAATTAGTAACTACTTGTTTCCAAGTATCTTGCTGAATGTATAACGAGATCCAATTGCTAGCCTCTTGTCACATACCTGCAGAGGGTGGTCCTTCATTTGTAACTTCAGCACCAGACATATCCCTCTCCCTCAGGAGTCAGCCAACCAAAGGCATAACCCTACTATTCATCCCACCTGAAAGACATGGACTTGCAGCCTCGCAGTGGGTGGCAGCAGCAGTCCACCCGTCTCTCCAGCAGGGACCCAGAGTCAGTGCTCTCTGATTTCTCCCAAGAACATTTATTTGGCTTCTAACATCTGCCTTGCTGAACATTGCTACCTACTTCTTCAGCATATCTATTTGTCCTATGCCTCCCTGAGACCTCTCTGTTTTTGAGGGTCCATAATACATCCTGAGGCTTCATACAATGCATCTCACATGGGATCACATTTTCAACCCATTATACCTAAACTGCCTTTCACTCAAGTGAACTTTAGCATAATGTCCAAGCACATACATGTACTCACATTGTAGAGGTGCAAGGCATTTGAAAATGGGACTCATGTATATTAGCTTCCTTTCTGAACACAAGTTTCCCTTCAGAAGAAGCCAGATGGCATAGGTCCAAATAGACCCCAAGCAGTCACCAAGCACAGGCAAACATATAAGATGATCAGACAACTAAGAGGCTGGCACCATGCAGCTGTGACAGTATAGATGCTTGAGAGCAACAGCCTGAAAGGGAAACTATGCTAGGGGGATTATCAAGAAAGTTGGATTCTTTCTGAAAATCTAGTTTTGAAATGGGCCTGAAATTTTCAGATTTTACGAATCCATACACTGAATTCCCTTAAATTTGCAGTTCCTGAACAATATTTCATATTTCCCTATAAGAAGGGGAAATCTGGGTCTCTAAAATGTGTTGAAAATGAGGCAGAAAAATCACTATACTGTCTTTTATGGAAGTACTTTGTTTCCAAAACTAGATGAATAAAAGCCCTATCTTTGTTTAAACATCATATGAGCAAGCACAACAGCACACCGTATTTATACATCATACTTTCAGTGCAACAAATCTTTCTGAGCCACTATTTTGTTTTCCTTGTTTTCTTACAAAAAGTTAAATTTAACACTCTTATCACTACTTCTATTAGTCTTTCATAAAACTCACCATTCAATGCCACTGTGTAACCGTAAAAATTGGTTTACTACTCTCTCTTTCAAATGAAACTAATGATAAAATAACCATGCAGAATAAAATGGAATCAATCTGTGGCTGCGTTAGTCACAGCCTGAGCAAAATGCGTGCTTATTCATATTTAGCCTCACAGAGTTCAATAACCATGGCACACGTTAGCTCATATTTGGCATTTGATTAGATCACTGAACTCTTTTTTGCACAGCTGGCATAAAGAGCCCACCTACTTAATTATTTACAGATAACTGCAATCCTCCTCCATCTCTTTCCTCTCTAAAAGATCATAACAAACTTCGAAGGCTGGAACACAGTGACTAATCAGAGATTACCATTAAAGGGCCAGGCAGTGAACAAAGTGTGAATATTGACAAGCAGGCGTATAGTCTCAGAGAAAATAATTTAATAAATAAAAGCAATTACTTCAAATGAAGTAGGAACAGCTACTGCATGGGAATAAATGGAATCCTCAACAGCAGTTTCATTGTCATGCACAGTTCAATTACAGTCAGACATGAAAATGGGCCAGTGGATTCATTTTTTTACTGGAAAGCTGTGAAAGAAAGGGAAGCAGATACCATCCTACACGATTGTTTCTCAGCACAAACTGCATCACACCAATGGAAAAAAATCTCACAAAGCAGAAAAACCATTTTTCTTGGATATTTTGTCTGGCAGTCTCACAACTGATTTGATATCCCACAGTAAAAAGTGTGGAGAAGTCAAACAATGAGTAGATTCTTGGCTGGATCACGTTAACTGCAACACATTTTGTCTGAGAACAGGAAAAAAATGACCTGGTTTTCTGGGGCCAAACACAAAAGCAATAAAAAGTCCCAAAACCAAACTCGGAGCTGAAAAATTGTGTTAGCCAACTACAGGCCTGCAATACGGTTCATTACCAGTGAATTTCAGAGAAAAAATAATAAATACATCCTCCTGTCATTTCATCTTTGCTCAGAAACCCACCCCAGTTTTTCTCCCAGATTCAAAATTTCACCTGAAGGGCACCTGGAGTTTTCTGGAACGCAACAAGCTAATTCAGAAATCTGTTTCAGAGGGAGCCCCTGAACTCAGTTCGATTACCAAGTGTGACATGGCTTCATCTTATTCAGTTATCTGAGCTTTGAGATATTTTCCCCATGTTTCTTCATTCTATTCAGCTTTCTAATTCCTTAAACTGGAACTTTATGTGAGGCAGGCAGGGAATTCTTCAGAAAAAAAGTGAAGAAGGGGAAACTAAAGAAAACACTCTACCAACCTATATGTTTTGACATTGAGATGTGATTTAACATCAAAGACTCAGTCTAGTATGCTGATTAAGAGGTTTAAGCAGCAAAGAAAGTCATAGACAAAACTGGTAACCACATGTTTTCCTAAGAGGTAAGCACCAAATAAAGCATCAAGCAT